GAACTGTTACTGGCTAATCTGGTTAATGATATTTAATGATTTCTAGTAACGGTCACGTTCAATATTCCCCATGTTACTTTTGATAAAACGAATTTGTTTTTATACTAACTATCGTGAGAAATTAACTAAAAATCGCGGGGGTAGTCGCGTGAATATACTGAGCTGAGAAAGCACCACTAGTTTCGAACCACAGAGGAGTTCTTCCTCATGAGCAGTGTGCGCGGTCGCGGAGAGTAGGTTGCGCGACATCGCCACGACCACACAAGCTTTTTAGTTAAAATGAAGATGGTAAAAAAGACTCAATAAAATTTTATCCCTTCATTTTAAGTCAAAAACAAGTGTAATAAATAATGATGTAAAAGAAACTTTCCACACTCATAACCAAGGTCGATTTATATGAAATATTTTATTTATTCAAAATATTTCATTTCTTACAAATTATCGCTAAGTACCAACTTGACCTTTTCTAGTTGACACGGGCCTAATAACGTGTTTTGACATATCTTGAATACATTTTAATGACATAAGTTACAATATAGTTTCTTCGAATAAAAAAATCTAAACAAACTCAATGTTTATTAATGTTCTCTCATATAATTTTATGACGTAAAAACTTATAAGATTCTTTGCGTTATTATGTGAAGTAGTATGAATAATTTTTTGTCTCTGTTTTTCTTTATAAAAGCCTAGCTGTAACCCGCGACTTCGTCCGCGTGAAATAACGACTTCTGTATAAATTGAGTGTTTAAATTAGTCTTTGCCAAGGTGTATTCTAAGGCTGTACGAATGTAACAAATATCATCACAATCGAATCAATACCTAGGCTATATTTATTGAGGAATGAATTTATTTTCGTGGTTTCTAAAATGAACAACTCCACAGAGTCTCGTGAGGTTTCCGTGTTAAAAAATATTATAATAATATGTTTGCAAATCAATGTTGTATCGCATTTCAATCAAATTTAATACAATGATTAACTTAAATGGGTTTTTCTTCTAAGTCGTTCTCTTCATTACTGAAGGTATTGTCTAGTCTGTTGCACATGTTTCTTGATGCACAACCCTCCTCTATGCGCCCCTGTTCTTTGCGGTCTTTATGGCTTGTGGAACTGTCAGGCTGTTTAGGTTTTTTACAGCATCTAGCCAACGGGTAGGTAAACGACCACGAGGACCAAATGGTTTAAAATAGCAATCAACTACCCCAATTATACACCAGTACAAAAATATATTCCTATAAAAATAATTAGGTACATATACTGTTTCTGAACTTATTGATAAATACAGTTACAAAATGATCAATGTTGATCTTTAAATAAATTCTAAGGATATCTAGATCATATGGCTGTATTAACTGATCGGTTCCTTAAAATTCCAGGAGTCGAAAACACAAATAAAAAACGTCTATTATCTAACACTGTGTTCAAAAAAGAATCGGAATACAATAGTAATATGAAAAAAAATAACATCTCAATTATCATAGTTTACTATTATTGAATCTACGTTCATAGAAGGCTATTTATAATATTGTATAGGTGAAGTGGTAACTCACGAAGAGGCTTTAATTGTGAGGTTACCTCTTATTCGTGAGGTCAGTCTCGTGAACTCGCGACTGAAGGATTTCCGCGTCACATTTCGACATAGGCTTCTTTGATTAAATTATCCTGGATCTTTTCATGCTTTTTTATAAACTGACAAACGCCTTATATAATAATGTACATTGAAAAATTTTTTGTACATAATTTTTGTATGCAAAAAGGAAAAATAAAAATAAAAATTAATAATAAAAAAGTTGTACACAATTTAATGTACTATGTATGTATCGTATCTCAATGTCTCGTTTGTATCTCAATAACGCAAATAGATATTTTTTATGTGATTCACATTCCTAGTCTTTTGTGTTTAACTGATTTCAAAAAAAAGGAGGAAGTTCTCAATTGGACTGTATTTTTTTTCTTTACCTCATATTAACTCCATGTTAATAGAATAAAAATGGATATCATTAAGTTTAGGCGATCGTAATGATCTGAAGAAATTAATATTTTATTTATTCTCTTGATGTGTACATCATAATAAAATCCATACGTAAGACATTTAACACATTTATTTTTTAACAAAAAACTCCTATATAGTTTCCATGACAACGCGAACCAAGATTAACCAATTAAAAACAAAAGTAGGTGCGTTACTTTGTATACGTTCGTACAAATCAAGATTCTTCTAATGTTTGAACTGTGTTAGTTTCCTACGAAATACCAATAGGTTTTATCTCAGTAATTAATACTAATCGGCCGTAACAATGGCGTTTCCCAAGTTTTTTTCTGTTCTCATTGAAGAAACACTAATTTGTATTGTAACCAACGCCTACGGTGATCGATTACACTACAATCAATTCTTTACTTTACTTTATCTTTTGATTTAGTATGATTTATTGGTAGTGTGAATTAAACAACTTAACTGTCCAAGGAGTCACATACGACTCACGATGAACTTTTAGAATAAGTTCATGAGTCATATGTGACTCATTTTTGGTACAAGTTTGGGGTGTATTTTTGATATGAGCGTGGCACCAAATTTAAAAAAAACTACGTGGAATTGTAGCGAAAAACCTGACCTTTAAAAAACAATGGACGTGGAGTAATTGTAAATTTTATGGTACCTATAGGGACAGTTAAGTTGTTAACATTTCTTGTATGTGTAATTGGGTATCAGTTTCATTTTAGGAACATAGGTGTTGATTTTAGTTTTATGAATAAATACTTTTCTACTGTTGATACCAATAGGTACGAGTATATTAAACAGCTCCATTCATTGAGTTAAATATAATTATAGAGTAACAAACACCGTTAGTGAGCATCCAAAAAGTATTATTATTTAGCATTAAACAGCTCAACAACAGATTGTTGTGCTGAGCAGAATATATATATATATATATAAAATAGGACTGAATTGATAAGTGATAAAGAGATGCCTGTGTCATACGAGTGATTCGTTTCGCTTAGGGGTGATTACGACTCTATAGTGTATCTCAATGGTTCTATTCTCATAAAATAAAGGACTAACCTCTTTCCACACACCGAATACAATTTCAAACTTCTAGTTAATATTACTGAGATATTTTCGAAAAAGTTTGGTAAAAAGTAAAAAGTACATATGGTTTAAGGGTAGTTGCTGGAAACGGCCATTGAACTCTTCAATTTTCATTTTATTCAAATTAAAAAAAGGATTTGTACCTAATAAAGGACTAGCGTCTTATCACCCACCAGATACAATCTCAACGTTCTTGTTATTAACTGAGATATTTTCGAAAAACACAAAAATACCTACCCCAGCAAACCTCTGCTTGACCCAGGCATAGAACTCGCGACCGTTTACTTTAAAGTCTTTAATCTATGCATATTTAATTTCAATAGCAGTTAACCAAAATAATTGATTGAAGTGGCAAAAAAAATATGTCATCGACAATATTAATGGTTTCTTAATTTGAAACGTATTGCATTGTGTTATGACATGGTTTTGAATGGGCTATTAATCATGATTTTATTGAATGCTTTAATGTAGGTTGTGCCTTATGAATTAATGGTTTGATAATTTATTTAATTATTTTATTGGTTGATTTACGTTAATGGAATTTCAGATACGATACCTATACTTTATATCGTATCCAACCTGCTTGTCAACCGTGGAGATATCGGCCCCTATATTCATAGAGAAGGCTCATAGGCCATCAGTGAACTGTCCGAAACTATTTACGATACTACTATCGTCTCAATATGCTATAAGTCATAATTACTTAAAGACTAACTTGATGACCAAGAAGATAATCAGGTAGATATCCAAACAGGTTTAATGAAGTAGGCATTTTATGCGTACATGTAGGTAATACGTTTCTATGGTATGCTGTTCACAAGACTAATAAGAAAATGTAAATGGTAATGTAAATGTTTTTTTTTTAATAACAAAGTGATCGTACCGATATTAAAATCGATTTTTTGACATTAATTCTATCAAAAACTTAAATCGATCTACTTTTTCGGTTTAAAATCGATTATTAATTTTGGTCATAAACTGAAAGTAGACCTATCAATGGCTGTGACTTTATAAGAAGCATAGATACCTATACATGCACCTACACACCTACCTACTTATAGTTGGTTATGTAACAGAGGTCATATAAAAGGCACGGGAGCTTACAAATCATTAAACATTGTCCATCTATCAGTCAGAAGAGTGGGACTCAGATCTCTTACTACAGAGCATTTCAACAATATACCTACTTACAAAATTATACAAAAAATATTATGCAATAAAAACGAAGAATTAACTAAAACGAATGATGTTTTGAAAATGGTTAAATGGACATTAACTGTTGTGATAAAATCCGTCAAATTAGGTAACCACGATTTAACTGTTTGATTCGTAATTGATTACTTATTTGGCAATACATATACTATGATAAGTGGTTAATTCTATTTATCTTACTATCTAATAATATAAATGTGAAATTGTATAAGTAACTTTGTGTGTAATTTTATCACTCAATCACGTCAAAATGGATAAACGAATCGGTATAACATCTGGAACAGGGGTACATTATACTCTAGAATAATACTTAGGCTTACTTTTTAACACGAACAAAGCCTCTAGCAGAAACTAGTTACAAGATATTTAAAGCTAGCTTGCTTGGTTTTGATTATGTTGTAGTAGGTTCCAATAAGATATACACGTCACAATATGTGTGTTCATACGTATGTATTAGGACCTAGATTTAGATAGGGGCATTGCCTGCACTATAAGATTTTTTAAGAGGAAAAATCATCGATTGTCTTTTACTGCTCTGGAGAGTTTTCGATTGACTAAAAACCACATCTGACACTCCGCTACACACAAAACGAGAGAAGTCATTGCTTGATTTTCTTCTTCAAAAACAAAGCTTACATCTTCGACGCTAAACATAGTGTTGTATAAAGATTAATTAAAAACTATTTTCTTATTTACAGGGCCCCATGAAGCGGCTGTCATGCGCATAGCGGCACTGATTGCACTCGTGCAGGTATGTACCCATCTCCATAATATTCCCATCGATCAATATATAATCAATTTCATTATAATTTATTCATCATTGCTTATTCTATTACTTGTCTATCGTTAGACCTCACAGAAAGATCTCAATTAATGTGATGAATGTAATCTGTCTGTGTTTAGTCATTACAAATGTTTAGGTTTTATTTTTTGTACAATTTCATTAGTTTCTTTAATGACTGCAAAATATTGCTTTACAAAAATAGATATAATGTTTTTGAATCACATAAAACAAACCAAGAATAGTCAAAAATATTCTGATTAACAAAAATGTCTTTAGACAGTTATCTGTAACTATAGGTTCTATTAGTTTATTTTGAACTGTTAAATCACATAATAATTTATTAAATATATCACTGATATAATAAACTAGACATTCTAGACAACAATGGCATCATAAAAAAACATAGGTACTTCAAACAACAGAAACAAAGTACCATAAACCCAACAGTTTCCAAACAATTTTCCACATACTATATAAGACAACCGTCGATAACTTTATAATTAGGTTAATAAATGAATGAATAATCAAGTGATTGCTTCTGACCCGACAATAACCTAATCTTAAGGTCACAAGTTCACACATTCACTATTTTAAAGTATTGTGAAACAATTTCCCTTTGACTTCCAATATCAATGCAATAAACGTATTAAGTAACACAGCCACGTAATATCATCAGGGTACAGACATCAGAAATTAATCTACTCAATTTTTTTGTTTGGATTTTAGACTTTATATCAATACGATAAAGTTGAGAAATGTATTAAGGATATTTGATAGAAAAGGATATGTTGGGTGACCTGCTGGCGATCGTATATACATTCATTCTTTGTAATAAGGGCCTTATAAGAGGAACACTATGGTAGAACAAATAGCCGCGCAATAACCATAAAAATCATGGTACTGCAAAGGAAACCTAATATAGTACAGACACCTTCGTCAAAATAGAAAGTCTGTATATCCGTGGTACTAGGTTCTAGTTTCAGAACGTCTGTAGATATTTTCGTATGAAAAAAAACGATCATGAAACTCCAGAACAATCAGAACTATTCTCTTTCAATGTAGATGACAATAACCGAAATCTTACTTAAGTTAAAACATAACCCAAAATAATTCCCATTACAATGACATCACAAGGTTACTTCAAACAAGAATTATAAAAACGTATCTATCGTTTAAAATTTTCCAAATAATAATGTGTCTTAAAAAATGTGTGTTTTTATGTAGAGCGTGTTTCTAATCTTCATATTGTGCAGTGAGTACAGAGACAAAATTAAGTACGTGAGAGTTAAAAGTCATTGTGCTGCCACGAACAATAAATACAGATCTTATGATAATGATAATAATAATATTAACTAACGACATCAGAGATCCTTGGCTATTCGACGAATAGTTGCCACTTTGTAATATTCAATGCAGTAGACAAAATATTCACTTTGAATAGAATTAAATAGAAATTCAATTCTTGGGCCTACTTAACAATAAACAATCGCAGTTCTATACTAGTAGCACTTTTGTTAAGCTATGACTTAACAAAGTCTAGAAATGTAAAATTAACAAATAAGCTTGATAACATAACTAACATTTACATTGTCACCTAATCGTACTCGAACTTCTTCGGGGATGCAAACCATTTACCTACATTACAATATTTTGTCACTAAAACAAAAATATAACTAAAACATCGCTGTAGCTGTCGCTCGCTACAGCTGTTTCAGATGAACCACAAACGCTCACAGCGGCTGAGCTGAACCGCGAATTGTCCGGGGACAATGTGCTCTCACCTTTCTACGAAAGCAGTGAGGATGCTGGGGTCACCTTCATAAGGGGGTCAAGGGCAGCTGACTCGCCCTTGTCTCCTGATATCGACGTGCAATGCTCGGGCGACTATATCGACGTCACTGTTGAATTCGCCGATATTTTCGATGGCATCATTTACAGTAAGGGTTACTTAAATGACCCGAACTGCAAGTAAGTATTGTTTATAATAGAATTTAATGAAAATGAGGGTCTCAGTTTGATCTGGATGTATGTTTGTGCGCGATTACCTCACGATTGGCTTAAACGATTTGATTACGCGAGGAGATGGCTCCGAAACACTTTTCTGAAAACCACACAATTTTTTTTTTAGTATATTAATTTAACCGATTACAAAAAGATGGGCTTGAAAACAGATTTTTTTAAACGTTCTGGGACTCTTGACATAGTTTCTTTAAGGTACTGTAGATGGGTGGGAATAAAGATAAAAAGTGCTAAGGAGCACAATATCATCATATACATACAATGAATTACGGGCAGAATTAATAGCCATTTTATTTTATTATCTATTGCATTATTTGTGATAATAATTATGCTAAAGCTATCCATGTGCTACCTAATCAGTAATTAGTAAATTGTGAAATATGATATTGTCTCTAAAGACTTCGTTCTCTAATAGTCAATTTCGTTCTTCGTTTCTTAACAAAATATTCTATTAATTTCAGATATGTGTCATTGGGCAACAGTCAGTCTCGGTACTCATTCAGAGTGCCACTGAATGGCTGTGGCTCCCGACCTCTCTGCAATGCATGTGGTACCATCGACAATGTACTGGTGTTCCAAGCTGACGACCTGTTACAAGGGCCTCAGGATTTCGCTCGCAAGGTAAACATATAAACATAGATACAATTTTTTTATAAGGGTGGGAAAGTCATCGAATGACTTCTCTCGCCTAGGTGAGGCGGGAGAGAGTGTAAAACTCTTACTGACTAAAAACCAACCCGTTCCTACTGCTGCACTTCGAGCTGGAACCCCGGTAACCCGTTAAGTTCTCCGCGGCTCTGTATCGGCATCAGCCCTATTGGACCCCATCTGTGGTGGTAAACATAGATAAAATGCGTATGTACCTAATTTTCACGGCGTAAATCCCAAAGAAATATTTATGTTTTGTGGTCCTATCTCGTTAATTCATAACAACGCCATGATATTTGTCTATCAACTACAAACGGCCAACCAAAACCAAAGATAGAATTTTGATAATTATATTTATATGGAGGTGATGTCAAAATTCTATCTCTAATAACTAAATCCACCAACAGACCTTTTTCTACCTTCCACCTAATCAAACGTTATGGTTATTAAATTAATTAATTTAAATTATTAATGTCTAATTGATGGCTTGTTCGTCCGCGAGTCACTAAAGGGGCCAGTAGAATACTAGCGCAAGGTCCTGTCTTGCACATGCTGAACTGGTCCCATTTCACCGCAGACTTGCGTCTTGAACATGTATCCATCAGTACTTACTTATAGAATAACATATCTGTAAAGTTTTTTGTTTCTTTTCTTTCTTTCAAACATTACTCTTATCATATTCCAGGTGTCATGTGCCCGCACTTCCCTGGAAGTGTCGACTGGAGTTGTCGCGTCCAGAGAAGAGCACACTCTTAAGCTAAAACCTTTCATGGTTGATATGCTTGATGTAGTTGCTGTCGAAGGACCTGCTGGAGGAGTCGAATGCTGGATGGACATCCAAAAAGGAGTCTTTCCTAATGTAAGTATTATATTTTTATGGTTACTATTTCTAAGAAAAGATTGTTATAAAAAATAGGAAATTGACTTAATTAGTCTCCTTTAATTCTTATGTAACACCAAAAACAAAATTTTAACCTATTTTGTCTATGTATCATTTTATACAATTGGCTCATCGCTTCAGTTGACTTACTCTAGATAAAACCTATAGTCTGCAAACCAATATCTAGTTTGGTATTTACAGCAAATTACTGAATCACTAACAAAATAATTTTCAGACCACTCCACTAAAGGACTCGATCAAGATTGGAGAATACTTGACAATCCTTGTGTACCTCAAGGATGTAAGGAATCAATTCAGCCTTAAAATACACGATTGTTGGGCTTATGACAGCGACAGCTACGATGGTCCTCGTACCAACAAGATTCAACTGACTGACAAAAACGGATGCCCCAAGTAAGATATTTTATGCTATTTTGTCTCAGAACGAATTTATCAGTTTGCATGTCATGCTAAAATGTGATTCATGGTGTATATAAGATAAAAAGAGTATGGAAAATACTATATCAGAAAAGCAAAATTTATCTTTACGTCTTCTTAGTCACGCAAAATCTTTAAAAGCTGGTGTTTCAATTACAGGAAGAGGAAGCTGATTGATCTCTGGCAAAAGACTACGAACACAGGCAAGAGCGGTGCCACATTAATTGCTTACAGCAAAGTGAGCGCTTTCCGATTCCCTGAAACCGACCAAGTTTACTTAACTTGTAACGTCGAGGTAAATATTTTCATCATGCTTATAATTAATATTATGACTAACTTTATTACAATGTTACATTACATTAATAAAAACAATGTGTAACAACTATCATTTGTAATTTATTACAGTTATGTACAAACAACTGCGACTCAAACTGCGATGGAGTCATCACGGAAATTTCGACTACGATCAGACCATCACAATGTTACCCTGGATCACGTGATCCTGGATGTCAACGTATCACAGTTGAACCACAATTAAAGTGTTACCCTGGCTCACTTGATCCCAGATGTCCTCAACAGCCAACACCAACGACACCAAACTGTTATCCAGGCAGCACAGACCCACGGTGCCCATCACCTACAACTGTTAAACCAGTTTGTTACCCAGGCTCACCTGATCCTAGATGCCCACAACCTCCAAAGCCGACTACACGGAATCCCCCTACTTATTTGCCTCCAACAACTCCAGAGCCACTACGCTGCTTCCCTGGTTCAACTGACCCAAGATGCCCGAAGCCGACAACTCCTGAGCCACCACGCTGTTTCCCTGGCTCTACTGACCCAAGGTGTCCCAAACCAACGACTCCTGAGCCACCACGCTGTTTCCCAGGCTCAATTGATCCAAGGTGCCCCAAACCAACGACTCCTGAGCCACCACGCTGCTTCCCAGGTTCCACTGACCCAAGATGCCCCAAACCAACGACTCCTGAACCACCACGCTGCTTCCCTGGCTCTAATGACTCCAGATGCCCCAAACCAACGACTCCTGAACCTCCACGCTGCTTCCCTGGCTCCACTGACCCAAGATGCCCCAAACCAACGACTCCTGAACCACCACGCTGCTTCCCTGGCTCTAACGACCCCAGATGCCCCAAACCAACGACTCCTGAGCCTCCCCGCTGCTTCCCTGGGTCCACTGACCCACGATGCCCCAAACCAACGACGCCTGAGCCACCACGCTGTTTCCCTGGCTCAACTGACCCCAGATGTCCCAAGCCAACGACCCCTGAACCTCCTCGATGCTACCCGGGTTCACCTGATCCTAGATGTCCACAGCCTCCTCGACCTACAACTTTAACGCCACCCACATATTTACCACCAGTAACGCCTGAATTTAAATGCTATCCAGGTTCATCGGACCCTAGGTGTCCACAACCAACTACCCCAGCTCCTCCAAGATGTTTCCCTGGCAGTACAGATCCCAGATGCCCAAAACCTACAACACCAGCACCTCCTAACTGTTACCCTGGAAACACGGACCCACGTTGTCCCAAACCAACAACTCCGGAGCCTCCACGCTGCTTCCCAGGCTCAACTGATCCAAGATGTCCCAAACCAACGACTCCTGAGCCACCACGCTGCTTCCCAGGTTCAACAGATCCCAGGTGCCCTAAGCCAACAACCCCAGCACCTCCAAACTGTTACCCCGGAAACACTGACTCGCGTTGTCCCAAACCAACGACACCTGCTCCACCAAGGTGCTTCCCAGGCAGTACCGACCCTAGGTGTCCTAAGCCAACCACTCCAGAACCTCCACGTTGCTTCCCTGGATCAAATGACCCAAGGTGTCCCAAACCTACAACACCCAAACCAGTCTGCTACCCGGGTTCTCCGGATCCAAAATGTCCCCAACCACCACGACCAACAACCTTAACTCCTCCCACTTATTTACCGCCAGTAACACCGGCCCTCAAATGTTACCCAGGTTCGACTGACCCTAGATGCCCTAAGCCAACGACACCTGAACCACCACGGTGCTTCCCAGGATCAACTGACCCCAGGTGTCCTAAGCCAACCACGCCTGCACCACCAAATTGTTTCCCTGGAAATACCGACCCACGTTGTCCAAAACCAACAACCCCTGCCCCACCACGGTGCTTCCCAGGCTCAACTGACCCAAGATGTCCTAAACCTACGACACCTGAACCACCTCGTTGCTTCCCTGGATCAAGTGACCCCAGGTGTCCCAAGCCTACCACGCCTGCACCACCAAACTGTTACCCTGGAAACAACGATCCGCGTTGTCCAAAACCAACAACCCCTGCTCCACCAAGATGCTTCCCCGGTTCAACCGACCCAAGATGTCCCAAACCAACAACTCCTGAGCCACCACGCTGCTTCCCAGGTTCAACAGATCCTAGATGCCCTAAACCAACAACCCCAGCACCTCCAAACTGTTATCCTGGAAACACTGACCCGCGTTGTCCCAAACCAACGACACCTGCTCCACCGAGGTGCTTCCCAGGCAGTACCGATCCTAGGTGTCCCAAGCCAACGACTCCAGAACCTCCACGCTGCTTCCCTGGATCAAATGACCCAAGGTGTCCCAAACCTACCACACCCAAACCAGTCTGTTACCCGGGTTCTCCAGACCCTAAATGTCCCCAACCACCACGCCCAACAACCTTAACTCCCCCGACTTATTTACCACCTGTGACACCGGCACTTAAGTGTTATCCCGGTTCTACTGACCCTAGATGTCCTAAACCAACGACTCCTGAACCCCCACGGTGCTTCCCTGGGTCCACTGATCCGCGTTGCCCAAAACCTACAACTCCAGCGCCTCCAAACTGCTTCCCAGGCAGCACTGATCCTAGATGCCCCAAGCCCACTACGCCTGCACCACCAAATTGTTACCCTGGAAACACTGATCCACGTTGTCCCAAGCCAACGACTCCTGCCCCACCAAGGTGCTTCCCTGGCTCAACTGACCCAAGATGTCCCAAACCAACGACTCCTGAGCCACCACGCTGCTTCCCAGGTTCAACAGACCCTAGGTGCCCTAAACCAACAACCCCAGCACCTCCAAACTGTTATCCTGGAAACACTGACCCGCGTTGTCCCAAACCAACGACTCCTGC